CGTAGACATCAAAAATGGAAAATATATAAACACAAAATGGAAGCTCTGTGTAAAAAGAAAGCCACAGATATTGCATAATGTATAAGGTGTTTCTGATGGTTCATGATACATTTTAAGTCTATGTCTGCTTAACAATCCAAACGTAAAATTGGAAAATATGGCTCAAATTCAAAACTTCAGAATTATTTAATTCACTTTCAATCAGTTTTCGGTTTCTGGAACCTCATTTCATTGTCAATCAGACAATCAAGAACATTTTTTTAATCGCGATTACATTAGAAGAAATAAATAAAAACTGTTGGATCAATTAAAGGAAATAAACCCTTAAAAGGGTAACTTTTTTGAACAAACTGATATGTCCGCAACACAGTAAATGATAAAATAAAAAAAAAAAACTGGGGGAAATATATTTTTGCTCACAGAAAAATGTTTAATATCTCTTTGAAGTCTGTTTTCCAATTTTGTTATTTCAATTGTTAAACCGTTTTGTATATATCTCAAACTATATCTTCAGACTAGTTGCCACTGACTGCTATATTTTCAGGTCAAAAAGGTACTCGCTATTTCGGCTGGAGTTTCCTTATACTCCTATCGAGTACAAAGTCTACAAATTCATCTATAGGTTTAATAATAAAAGGTATAGTAAATAGACCGATTCCAGTGACAATCCATTTTCTTGCATTTTTTGGCAGTTTGTCACGTTTCATCACCAAAAAATTTGCTATGGCACATACTCTGTTGATTGCATATCCTGGTATGGCCACGGATGCCAACATCTGCCAGATCAGAGTATCCGTTGTAGTATAAATAACTTTTTTTAGATGATGCCTCTCATTCAAGTTGGCCTGTAAATAATAAACTATGAAATATTAATATTTTGAATTTTGTAATTAAATAGGTAGTGCACATAATATATTTCCTCAGTAATATGTAATGGTAAATATACATATGTTCAGTTGTAAGCACTGGGTTGGATTGGTATCAGTGTTTTGTTGCACATTGTATTTCTACTACTCTGGTAATAGTGTTGCCATATATTTAAATAACACTTTTCCCAATAGATGGATGGACGCGGAGGACCAATTCGAATAGCCAGCATATTCTCCCGACCTTAAGGAATGTATACGTATGTAGTGTGTCCCAAATTATTAACGACCAATTTTAAATCGACAAGAGGATTAGGATTGCATAAGTTTAATATAGGTATTTGTACACTAAAAACTTATAAAATTAAAACTAGTATAAGAAACATAAAGTTACAAACTGAAAGATAGATCTATAGGTATCATACGGATTAAACGAATTAAGAAAAATTGTGAAATACAGACAATTTTTCCATGGTAAAATACTTTATATTTCAGGTCTCTGAAATTTTAATTCTACGTTTGCATCGTTTACTGAACACAAACTACCTATTATTATTATTTCATGTAAAAAAAAATTAACAAATTGAATTTTAAATTGAAATAATTTTCAAAACATACCATGTCATTTACTGTCACGTGTAAATCAAATCCTATCATTTCATTAAATGAATATAACATTTTTTTAAAATTATTTAGATACATATTGCACATACATAACTTCAAAAAAAAAAAAAATAGGTATAGTTTAACTGATCACTGATCGTGATCAAATTGAAAATTCGAAACACAAATTTAAATCGGTACCTACTCGATTATTAACCTCGCCCGATAACATGAGGATTCAGAAACAGTCATTTGAATAGAAGAAAAGACGCAAAAATCAAAAATACAAAATTTTACTCCTCAACGTCACCATTTATTATAAGTATCTTTATAATAAATGACGTCACACAGCGACACAAGAGAAGGAATTCGAGAGAGGTCGTCTCTGGAAATACCACATGCACCATAGATAAATATAAATTATTCAACAATTACCATTAACTGAGAGATCAATAATCATTAATCATTATACTGTGGAAATACTGTTCTGTGAGAAATACAGCGACACAGAGAATAGGAGTGAGGTGAATACACTACTTGATCTGGCCGAGCAGCTTTCTTTTGACAATATTTGTGATCATGTCACAAAATCATGTTTGCAAGTGATCACAAAAACATGTTCAACATGCAATAGAGCTTTTCGGGTGCACAAAAGTATTAACTCTCACGATTATCATTGGTTGAAATTGATTTTAATTTTGAACTCAACCAATGATAATCCAGAGGTTATAACTACTGGTTAAACCTTTTCTGCACCCGAAAAGCCCTATAGTTATGAGAGAACGGTATTCTCTCTCTCTCCAGGCTCCGTCCATATTACCTATTAGGTCAATGGCACATACCTATGTAGTCAATGGGTAAACCAACCTTCGGTTGTCTCTTTCTAATCTGTCTCTTGTCTTCAGAAACATTGAACCTTATGGCGCGTTCTCACGACTTTTTTCTTCCTGCGTCACGCGTCATTTGCTCTGATTGGACATTTGACGTAAAGAAGTTGAATATTCATGAGTCACCAATCATACACGAGCGACGCAAGATGCAGAAAGTAAAATGTCGTTATGAGAATGCAACGAAAGTTTAATGCTCAGATAAAGAATCGATTCATTTGGTTTATATAAGAGTATCTCTTTATCTCTCTTCATCTTATATATTATTTTTTTTGTTACAGCATAACATATCATCTCCCATCTCCGTCCTGCTGCCATAAGAACAAACAAAATAATCTACACCTTTTTTATACCTATTATAGACAAAGTAAAAAAAATACATAGGTACTGATAGATATGCTTATTATTGCGAATATTTTCGGTATTTAAAACCATGCATACTACAAAAAAACCCATTAAATTATAGTTAACTATACACATAATGCTGTGGTTACATATCGTTTTTTTTTCTTTCGTACTTAATAAACTGGTGTTTTGTTTTACCTTGTAAGATTTCAAACTTTTATCCGTTGTGTCTGCTAAAACGTACATAGTGGCTACTGCATACGAAAAATTGACCCATTTTTTTCCTATTATTGATCTAAACGCTTCTCCAAGTTCGTTTGAATATCCTGTAAACAATTTCATGTGTTTTTATATTGAACTATACAGTACCGAAAATACTTACCTAAATATCTGACTGGTGTTTGTTTATAAAAGTCCAATTCCTTACCGTCCATTGCAAATTGTATTGTCTGTTTGTGTAATTAATGATAACCTCAAAGCCACGTACTTGGAATACGACTACTGAAGAGTAACTAGTCATTGTTTATAGCCGCCTGGTTAGGTCAAAATGGATTCGGAAGAAATTCGGTTATTAATAATTTAATAAAATCAAATTCCGCCGAAAATTATTTTTATTAGTAGATCAGTAGTTGCCGTTCTTATTGTACATAATATAATAATCATACGTCAGTCGGCCTGTTGGTCTAGGGGTATGATTCTCGCTTCGGGTGCGAGAGGTCCCGGGTTCAAATCCCGGACAGGCCCACGCGATGTTTTTTTTTTTTTTTTTTTCAGAATGCATTTGTATTTTACTTTCTGTGATAAGGGTCTATTAATTATGATGAATCAAATTTTGTAAAAAAATCGAGGGATATGCATCGAGCAGTAAAAAAAATCTAAATGATTATGACACAAAAATTAATTTGCGGGATTATAGAAAAAGCTAATTTATGATGAATATTAACGTGTTAGTATTTTTCAAATCTGCGATAGCTAGAAAGTATTTTAAAATTTATACAACTGAAAATCCTAATCCAAATTTTCAAATGTAACAATAACGTGTAATTTTGTTCTACGTTAATAGACCCGCATTATACAATGTATGACAAAAGTATGGAATAAACCACACAACCAAAAATAAAAATGTAGAGTACGTAATATTATTGTTATGTATTACGTATTTAAAAAGAAAACTACAAAGGGACGCGTATAACATCAACATTACTTAATTAGTTTTGAGAAATTGGGTTAACAAATAAAATATATTTAAAATTACTACTACTATTAAGAACTATTTTCGTTCTATTGACTGATGGTCGAGAGGCAAGAACACTCGAGTCTCACCCAAAAGTCCCGGGTTGGAATCCCGGCCATGGTACTGGGATTTTTCTGTGAGAGAGATTAATCATAGTATATATACTCGGATATTGGATGTGTGTCCATTGTCTTTAAATGTGTAGCCCCCTCTCGCACGTTAGCTTAGAGATACAGATGGTTGTATTATCTGTGGTGTTTATTATTTATATTATTATTTTTTAAGGAAAGGATATTTTCAGCCCTTTTTTTGTGTAAACAAGAAATGTTTCTGCAATTAGTCGAAATAAATCAACCTCAGTACTTAAGAACTTTTCTCACGCGTGTGAGTTGACTTTAATAGAAAACTTAAAGAATCGAGAGATTTTGAGGACGTTAAGTCAAAAGAGGCAGAGCTATGGCATGTACTTATTTAATGCTATATTATGATGTGGCTTTTTAAGTTATTGATATGAAGTATGTTTTCTTTTTTGTCGATTTAGACAATCTGCAAGTAATATGTTTTTTTTTGTTCTAATAATGATATTGATTTAAAAACAATTATAAGTTTATAATAAAAATGTATGATTCCATTTAAAATAAAAAGTTTGATTTTAAAATTTTCTGCACCAAGAGATCGTAGTGTCCGAGGTTTTTTTTTTCGATAACTTTATATCAACGGAAAAAATTAATTAAATCCATACTTTTGTTATATAGTGTATAATAACTATGTAAATGAGGATGCAACATTTTTTATATGAAAAACAATTTATTTTTTAATTAACAACTGACAAGGGTTACATCAAAATTTTCCGCTTCTCTTTCGTCCAGTGTATTTTGAATCTGTCCTAACATCTTTACCTTGCCTTCTTCTTCTTTCTTTTTTTTCTAATATCCAATTTCTTCTTTTTAATGATTTACCTCTTTGTTGTTTTAAATGTTCTCGTTTTGCAGTATAAGATATACCTATTTATAAATAAAATAAGGAAATACATTCATCAGAACTTTATATACGTACAAAAAAAAGCGTCAGGTGTGGGGTTCGAAACCACGCTCCCTTTCGAGAACCGCGCCTCAGACTGCTCGGCCAACCTGACCAACGATAAATTTCTTTTCATGACCATAATACGTTATGCATAATATTTATTTATTTCTTCATGCAAATTAAGTAAATTGTATTTTTAATTGTTCTATTATTACAAAACAAATTTCTTCCTACAAATATACATATTTTTGTATTGTTTATTTGTGTCCACGCCCTTTTGCAACAGTATTTCTCACGGTAGAGGCAATTCTTCTCAGCTGATTTAAGAGAACAAACTGTGACTAATGAATCTTATTGCACTTTGCAATAAGGGTCATTATTTTCACATCACTGACTTGAATTAGTTCGAAAGTAAAGGGTAATATATGAGAGAGATAGAGAATGATTTAAACGCCCTGAGTTCTAAAATGATCGAAGGATCTAAAGCCGAATCTTCGTGCTCTAACCGTAAGCACAGTTTACTTTTACGAGTATGACCAATCACGGAACAGCAAATTTGCATTTAGCCAATCCCAATCAGCACTAATTTTTTGAAAATATGTTTCAAGGCGTTCGTAGCGCAAAAACAAGCCTTGAACCAATTTGGCGGTAAATTGGAAGTAATTTAAAATAAAAATAATAATGGACCGTTATTGTGACGTCACAAATTATGCAACCTATGCAAAAGAGTCATGTCATGACTCATGACACACTGGTCTATATACTGGAACTGGACCCTAATGTGCATAAACGCGGCATTTTTGTTTGTTAGACATAGTGTACAGTTTTTTTCTCCTTTGAAAGAAATATTTAAGAATTTTCAGTAACCATTCACCATGTACCATGTATGTTAGAATATATACAATACAGTGCGCTAATTTTATGAGCCGTCTTGCCGACGAACTGCAGAGTCAGCCCTAGATAACAGAAGTTATTAATTCTTGCGGAGTATCTCTGGACAGTATTCTTATTCTCTTTTCAATAAGTTAAAACTGTTCATTTATTATACTTTTGTATTTTATTTTTATTAAATAAATTGTCTTTTAAAAACAAAGTAAAAGAATCAATTATCTATATATTCACTGTAGAAATTTTGTAAATAATAATAATAATAAAGTTACTGTATAATGCACTATATTTGTATATATTCTAACATACAGAGCCTTCATAAATGATTAAAAACCAAGTGATCAATAGGTCCTTCATATTACGGCAATACCTGCTGGTACAAAAGTTTATTGAAACTCGGTTCCATATGTAATAAAAAAAAGGGTTGCTAATTGATATTTTCAAGTTGCAGTAGCTGGGGGTAAAGGGGGTGAAACATAATATTTTTTTAAATAATGTTTTTACTTAAAATAATATATGCCTTAGATAGAGAGATAATCAATCAGGGTGGCTAGTTTCTGAATAAAAGCATTATACATTTTATTATAAGCAGCCTCATTTAAAATAAAAACTAAATACCTCGAGAATCCTCATCAGTTCCAAGAGCTTTAGGCAACACTAAATTTCCACCTGTCATCAGTACCAGGAAAAATTTTTTTGCTTTGGTACTATTTGGATAATCTACTACCACACCTCCTGAAAAACCAGCCCGCATTGCTTGAGTAGTTAACAGTTCCATTTGGTGGCTGTTTTCTGGATAAAATTGTAACACAGCTCTTGCCGAACGACTCTAAAAGGTAGTATTAATAATTTAAAAATTTCTATTTCCCTTGCAGCAGACATCACTTTTTACTGCCTGTAAACCTACCAAACACGCATATAATGTGCTGAAAAATTTATATATTCTTTGTACAGGTTTGTAACCAGATCTGTCTGCATTACATAGCCACTGCAGCGCTGATATACTAATGGCACCGTCAAATGTACCTGAATAAAAAATATAGTTTGGCAATAAGTATATATCAATGATGTACCTATCTAAGTTTGTACAGCCGGGGCATGAATTCAACACAAGCATGTCACACCGTTAATATCATTATTGTATTGTGACATAGACATCTTGGCACATTATCGTTGTGACCTGCATGTGTTGAATTTGTGACTCAAATTTATATACCGAGATGGCCAGGCCAGTATTAAAAGTCAGGTCACAATGTGAAAAAAGAAATGGGTTAATACAAAATCGTTAACGATAAACAGTCAGAATTTATAGAATTGGATGTGAAAAAAGAAAGACCTAAAACATAGGTATACTTTAGTATGGTCAGGTATAGTAGTAATGAACTATATTAATTATATTCTTTTCTCGGCATCCAATTTAAAATTGTCAAGTTACTATTGACATCCGACCTTTTTTTTTGTAGAATGAACGTATTATCATTTGCCTAATAAAATATTTAAAAAATTTAAACATTTATCGATCATGATGACCAAATTAGTATTTATATTACGAAGGAGGCTAACGGCACTGTTTCGTATTAATGTTCACCCACCCTGATACATAAATTATTGTTATTAGTGTGAAAACTATTACCATATATATTTTTTTTTGCACTAAGTGACATTATTTTTAATAAATAATAAAATTCATAGCAAATATAAAAAATCATCAAAGTTAATAATCATGAATGCTAACCAGCTTTAAAAGGGCACCCATGGCCCATATCTGATAACACAAGACTTCCTTCAACTTCTCTTTCTACCGCAATATCTAGAAAACAAAATTTATTTCGATAAAAATAAATGATAGGATAATTTCCACTTACCTAACATTGCAGTAGATATATCCATACCAACCCAAACATGCCCTTGATCTTCAAGAACGCTACCACTTAATCCTGACCCACAACCAATATCTAATAAATAACATGGAGTGTCTTCGGGCAAGACTAACAGTTCAATAGCACGTTCAGACATCTGTACCTGAATGTCCATGATTCTTGAGCTAAAAGCAAATCATTTGAGGAAAAATTAATTCCAATGTATTATTACTTACTTGCATGTGTATTTCTTCGCTTCATCTTTGTTGTAAAACTAAAAAAAAAATCCTTTTTAAGTACAGATCATATATAATTCAATAGTACATACAATTTCAGGTGGGGCCAAATATTCGGGGCGCGACATATTATTAAAATAAATAATGCACAATTGTGGTATTACAAGATACTAATCAAATCATATGAACATACTAATAAAAATATAGATAAATATTAAACTTCCGCAGAGCAGCCTAACCTTAAAATAGTGGAAAGAGCAGTGTCGCCAACACAGAATAGAGAATAATCATCAAAATTGTCGCCAATACATGATACAAATAAATTGTATCATGTCGCCAATATGTAAAAACTATAACAGAAGCCATATGCCTTTTTTCTGTTCTGTGCCATAAGCACAGAAACAGAATACAGCTTTCAATAATTAATTGCTCCGTCACCGAAAGCAGCCCTTCGGTCATTTACTGTAGACGTAACTGTACCAGAGACAACCGAGACGCGCAAGTACGTGCTAAAATTTAATCCGCAGTATTGAATTGGTCGATTGTAATGGAAGGTGAAAGTAGATGGCGCAAGAAGCAAACGCCCGCGAAAATTCAAAACCCCCCTTTTTATTATTTTATTGATATTATTTATAAGCTTTATTTCTGTAGCAGTTGGTGATCGTTTGTGGATCAGAAGTAGTCGATTAGTTGTTTTTAAATACTTCTATTCACTGGAAGTTAAAAACTAACCGAGTGACTATCTCTGATGATCCACAAACGATCACCAACTGCTGCAGAAACAAAGCTATTTTAAAGTTAGTTACAAAACTAGAGCTCAATTAATTTTTATGTTAAACTAATCAAAAGGTTAATTGTAACCTTGTTGAACCGCTTAACATAAGATTTAAAAGAAGTATGTTTTTGTATTGGATAATTAACATAACACTCAAAACACAAGTAGGTAGGTAATATTTTGTACAAAATTTATTAAAGTCAGAAAAATACAAAGAAGCAAATTTAGGACATTTTGTCAATATATTACAGAAAATATCAAGAAAGCACGATAGTTATTTATGCAACAAGACCGGAAAGTGATTCTTAACAGGGCGAGCTGGCAATTTCCATTGCAAAAGCCCTGGCGAGTCCAGTAAAGTCACTTTCTGGGTGTGTTGTGTACAATGTTTTTTCTACAATGGTTCCTGCTAATCTCAAAAAACTTTTTAACTTTAATAAAATATAAAATCAACTGACAGACATCAGACACTTACTTTCAAGGAAGACTGGAATAATCATTTTTAATTGTTATCGGATACTTTCTGTCAACAGAAAATGACATAAGGAATCGGTAAAGACTTTACAAATCCTTACGTCACTTTGCCGGGCTAGACCTGTAAATATGTATTTTCCACTCAAAAAATTGATCACAGTTAAATTTCTAGAAGGTTGCAAAAAAAGAATATTATTTAACGATTATAATTAAATTTAAAATATTTATTAGGCTTGACTTGCAGAGACTACCTTAAAATGTTATCAAGTGCTAGATAAAAAAATCATGTATTGTGTGGCACGCAACGTGGCTCTATAAAAATTAAGGTTCTAATTATGCGAAAGAATCTTCAGTTTTCTCTTTGTCTCACGAGCACCATTTTTTTATGATTCTTTTATTCATTTTGCCTCACGAGCATGTTTTTTATTTTGCTTCTGTGCCTCATTGTGCCTCTTATACCACCAAGGAATCCCAATTCTAATAATTCCCCGGTCATTTTCGAACGGTGACATTCTGATCTGATACAGTGCTGGGAATCTCCTCCAAAAATTCACTAGCTGCCTTCACTATGCTAGGAAATTCCTCCGCCAACTCATAAGGTATATTCTTTGAAGTTAAGGCCTCGCTTGAGGCTAGATCTGAAGTAAAATGAGATAGATATTAGCGACCATGTTTATTGGTTCAAATCTATATTTCTTTATTTTGAATAAATTAAATAATAGTAAAAAGTCTGCGATAATTCTACCAAGCTAATTAGTAACAACTATGGATTGATATCTAAGGACCCGTCACCACCAACATTTTGTAAAACACATATTACCTGCTTGCACTTGGTATGTAGCAAATTGATGACATGGAAAAAGTGTGGGGACTGCATTGC